ATATCTGCATTAAAAAATAGCCTACCTTTCAAACAAAAATAATTGTGAAGGATTATTCATTTTATTTTTTTTTGAAAAAACTGCTGTGACATTGAAAATTTATCAAAATGTTATGAAAATGTACAGAAAGTTATTGAAATTTGCCACTTTAAATCTGATAATTTTTTGATAAATATTTTAATGAAAATTTGATGAAAAAAAATAAAAAGTGAGAAAAATGTTCTCTTCCAAACTCTTAAAAACAACTTGGATATCTTTGCATGAATAAATTTTTAAATGTTCGAACCACCTGAAATCATATAATAATTAGGACTATACAGCACTGCAAAGGGGCATTAACAAAACATTCATAGGGTATTGCAGAGGATCTTAAGAAGACATTCTTTTTCCACAATCCTTACTATTCTACATCTCCAGCCTTTTTTTTTCAAGTGTTTGGGGTTTTTTAAGGGTATTTTGAATTTCAAATCAGAGTAATTAATTAAAAAATAAATAAATAAAATTGTCAGGGTAAATGTACTTGCATACAAAGGTAAAAGTAAAAATTGTACCTCTAAGGTTATAACAACCACAATAAATGTAAACAGAAGAAATGTGAACAGATGCCACTGATATTTTACAAGTAATCCAATAGACTCCTCTTGGTTTGGCAGATTCTTATTTGAATAAAATTCTTGCCAACTTAAAGTTGAGGTTTCTTTTTAAAGACAAATACCAATATTTCTTCATTTTATGTAAAAAATTTCACTCCTTTCCCTTATTTGAATGTAGAATTTGTGTATGTTACAATTTATGTATGTTACAAATTATAACCAGTAATGGAATCATCCAAATATTTTCTTGCAACAAACAGAAATACTGAAACTTTCATAAATGGTTTTCAGACTTCTCAGCTCATCACAAAGGAGGTTTTAACCTGAGTTCACATACACTTGTTTCCTCTTGTGTTAACTACCCCAAAAGTGCTACAAATGTATAGCTTTGTTAATACATAAATAAGCATTAAATCAAGGACAGACAAATTCCTGGTTTAATATTCAGGAGAAACAGGAATTATATTGGTCCAAACACATTTGGAGAATTAGCCTGCTTATTCTGATTCTGTAGTCCAGAAGTGGCTCATGTCTTTATGTGGACAAAGAACATAGAAACCGAAGAGGAATATTTATTTCTTCCAAAAGCACCAATACTTGGAAGCTTGAATGCCTTAAAGCCATAGCACTTTATTCTCTGAAAGAGAAATGGAAATGGAAAGTTTGAAAGTCCCACCTGATCTCATTTCTAACACTGCACTCCTTTGGCTAAGGGATTCTCCTCTGTTCTGTGAAAAGGTTGGCCTCTGCTACCCCGTACTTCAGGCACTATTTGAAGTAGCTGAGTCCTGCCACGAGGAAAAACTTCTCCAGGAAAAGTTCAGAGTCCAGCACGGCAATGTGGGCAGCCCGGCCTATCAACGTGTTGGCCGTGTTCGGCAGGGCATGGAACACATTGTGTCGGATCAAAGTGCAGTCCTTTGCCCCAATCAAAGGCTGGAGCAGGTTGTTAATCATCTCTGCGTAAACAGGACCTGAAAAAGAGGTTAGATGTCACACCTACATGCCACCGACCCCAGATCCTCTCTTTTCTTCCAGTATCATTTAATTACAGTCCCAGTGAGAAGGAAAATAGAAGCAAGGCCAAAATGCAGGAGATGGGAGGCCAGTTCAAAGATTTGCCAGGTGCCAGGGTGTTGTTAACCTAGTGGAGGCACTGGCCATGCGGAGTGATCTGCTGAAGCTGCGAGCAGGAGGAGTGGGAAAATCCTGGGCAATCAGTCACATTTCCTCTGTCATTGAAGAAAATGCTCTTGTTCCTTTCAGGGGAGTGTGGTTGGACTCAGAGTGTCTGTGGATTCAAATGTGAAAGGGTCTGGCAGGACACAGTGGTCCATTGAGTTTCTCTGCAGAATCTGATGCAGGAAGGATGTCATGTAGATATTTGGGGAGTTTATGGGGCAAAAACTGTGACTCAAGAAACACGTACTGACAAATGATCTACACCGAATGCAGATCTGGCTTCTACTAGGTCAAGTACCTCCCTGAGAAACAAGAACTGTATGAGAGTTAAAGAATGACCTTTTAGTTCATATCAGAGGTAGGATAGAAAGAGCTGGCATTTAGGCAAGAGGTGTGAAGGCAACCATGCTGATTACTAGGCCTAGGTGTCTCCTGTTTCTAAAGAGTACCTTAATTTCTAGGTAATCACATATATGAAACAGGGATGAAATTGCACTGAGCATTATTGCTGGAAGTGGTATCAAACTGAAGCCACGAAATATTTTATAAATGAGGCAGACTTAATAACAAAGGCAATGCCTGGGAAAACACATGGCCTGAGCTCACAGGAGAGCCTCTGAGTGGCGTTGAGTCCTGATATGCTTTACAGTTTTTATTACAAACCAACAGAATTTTAGATCTGTCCCTTAAATTATCTGGCAATCACTCAAACACTCTTGGAAAGAAAGGAAAAATCCCTTGACTCTGGTTATGCTGAGAGAGATTTCATTATGTGTAACAAAGATGAGATAATATAAGTAAAGCAGTAGACTACAGAAAAATATTATCAAGAGCTAGTTCTATTATCATCACTTTAGAGAAAAAAATTTAGAGGGAAGAGGAAGAAGCAGTAAGAAACCTTTGATTATGACCTGATTGAATGTTTTTTTTCATCAGGCAAAGAGCTTCTTGAAAAGCTTCTTTTATTGATTTCAGTAATTTCCTGTGGGAAGAGAACACTTTCTTCCCTATCAAATAAACATTTGAGTTTTCATCATGCTGATGAAAAACCCTTCTAATGCAATGACCTCAGCTGCACAAAACCACAATTCCTCAATAGCTTTGTGAATATAGAAAAGATCTTAAACATACCTGTGTGTCTGTCCTTAAGTGCATTTTTGCACATTTCTATTCTTGCTGAATGGAAGGGTACATATCTGTCTTGGGGTGAGGCCACTAACACAACATTTTTAAAGTACTGAAGACCTGTGGCAAACATATTAAATACATTAATCACAGTGAAGTGCAGAGGTGAAAAATACACACAGTGTCAGCATGACTACTTCATGTTCAAAGGCTTTTGAAAACCTACGGTGCAAAATACATGATAATTATTAAAACACGCAACACGAGTTTAGAAAGATTCCTAACAGCTTAAACACATTTCTGCTGCTTCTGAGACGTATTCATTACTTATCAACAACCAAAAAGGTTAACTGTATGCTAACAAAAAAAAAACTGTGAAAAAAAACCCTGATTAAAACCTTAATTTTGCAAATATTTATACCTCTAATCAGAAATAAATTTAAAAATAACACAATGAATTAGCACAATTCTCAAACATAATAGAGAGAGGGAGTTAAAAAAGGAGTCAGCTTCACTGCTGTGATGTCATACTGTTACACTACTGTTGAGAGAGCCTTGGGATCCATCCAATACCTGCATTCAGCAGTCCCTTGATAAATGTACACTACTGGTACATCGACTGGAAACTGGAATCCTCCCTCTTCCCTAGAGGTAATAGGGCCATTGATGAGTTGTGGAAACAGGTTCCTGCTGTTTGCCCTGTCTGTGGTGTCTTGAGCCCTCCACGCCCACATTTAGTAGAAAAGTAAGAAAACGGATACCAATGATCTGGGTTATTAGTCCAGAGAGTACCCTGAACACAGAAGAACTATGGATTTGTCATTCATCCTTCCCTCCCATCTTGTGTGAAAGAGGTAAGGAAGACAAGTTTCCATCGTGGACATTCAATTCCAATAACAAAGTGTCCTTTTCAGCCCTGGAGATGCCTCTCTTTATTGACAGCATCCAGAACCAAGGCCTGGTTGGCTGGGGCTGATCTAGAGGAAGGTGCCCCTGCTTATGGCAGGGGGGTTGGAATGAGATGACCTTTAAGGTCCATTCCAACCCAAACCATCCTATGTTTCTATGATTCTGTGACTGTGATTTCTAGATTTTCACAGAAAAGTTAACCATCACCACCACAAAGTCCTGCTGCCTGCCCTTCCAAAACCTGGCTGAAGCTGTTTTTCTTCTTGTGTAATCAGAGTTTACAACTTAATTCTGAAGTAAAAAGTAGGAGAAGCAACAGTACGTGTTACCATATCTAAAAATCTATGTGAAGAGGTTGAATACGGAAGAATATTTTGTTGGCTTTTGTTTGATTTTTTTTTTTTAAGACAAGCATGAGGAACATTTTTTAAAGAGATTGAAAAGTAGCAGGGACTTTAACAAGAAGGTCAGAAATCGCTGGAGGTTTAAAGTGTCATCTGGGAATGCAGGCACAACACTGCTTCTGGCATTTCTTCCTCTGTAGGTTATCCCAACCACTTCTTGGAGCAGAGTGCTCAGGCAGGGGCATCTCTATATTGACTCAGTATGCCAGCTCATATATTCATATATGGACCTATCTGCTTCTTCAGACATTTTGCATAAGCATGTACCTGGATGATTCTGACTTTACAGGCAACTCTGTCCACATTTAAATTTCTGCTTTCTGCATTTTCAGGTACAACGCCTTAATTTATAGTGTGTTACATCTCCAGTCTACCAAACTAACAAAAACCAAATCACTTTGACTCGCAACACATGATTAGAAATTCTTTTTCTTGGGAGGTTACAATATAAGCTTCCTGTGTAGACCCAATTTATTTTAACTCAACAGTAGTGGAGCAGACATCAACTGTACTCCATGGAAATGAGAGCCAGGGAATCAAACGGAAAATTCAAATAACGCCAGTATACACCATCTTCCTGTCACTGATTATGCTATGTAGTATGTTCATAAAATTAAGAAACAAGTCTATGTTGGTCATACTAAGAATTAAGATGTTATACTCATATTAGCATAGTCTTTGTCTCCTATTAGCAGTGTAACAAAGTAAGAGAAACAAATTAAATACCAAGTAGAGACCTTGTGACTACATGCTTGGCACCAGTTTGCTCAAACGCAGTATGAAAAATAACTCTTAAAAGAAAACATTTGCTTGAGTAGAAGGATCATACTTGCTTTCTTTTCTTAAGAAAAACCTGATTTATTTTATTTATTCATGACAGACCAAAGAAGGGGTAAAAAGATTCTTTATTCAGACACCATTTTTCCAGTGTGAGGCCATACATCTCTCTTTAGTACAGAAGTGTCAAAATAGACATGAATAAAATTTGCTCTTCATCTCACAGAGTCATATTTCCCAGAGACAGGAGATGTTAAACTTACAAAAAATAATAAGAAAGGAAAAATGGTTTTCATCTAGTAGCATAAATTAAGCAGTGGTGGCCTGTCAAGAATGATGTTTCTTGCTTGCAGAATATAAACTTAGGTGCATGTTTACTGCAGCACAAAGATCTTGTTTGATGTTTAGTGTTTGGAAAATACATTCTCTGATAACCAGTACAGAAAAAATGCACAAATAAAATAGATATTAGATTTTAGAAAGAGCCACCCTTCCTGAAAACAAGAGTGTTCAAAGAAAGATCACCAACAAAATGGAGATTTCCTTTACTCCCTGGAGAAAATGGCAATCTAGCACAACCCATTGGAATAGCCCTTGGTATTTCCAGAGGCACATCAAGCCCTACTCACCCGTTTTTTGGCTGAGCTGATAGAGGAAACACTTGCGCAGATCCGCGTTGTCCCTGAAGGTCAGTTGCAAAAGAGACCCTGACTTTTTCAACTTCTGCATGAGCCACAGACCTGGAGAGAAAATTGGTGTATATTTTTCTCCTGTTTGTTACTTATCAAGCAAGGCAATCAAAGATATGTGCCTACAGTAAGGATAGCACTGTAATTCAGAAGTCTTTTTTACTCTTGCATTCCTAATCAACAGGGAAAAAAAGTCTAAGGTTCTCACAAGATAGACATAGCAGTCTTAAACTAAAAGGGGATAGATTTAGATTAGATATAAGGAACAAATTCTTTACCATGAGGGGTGTAGACACTGGAGTAGGTTGTCCAGAGAGGTGGGAGATGTCCTCCCTGGAAACAATCCAGGTCAGGTTGGATGGGGCTCTAAGGAAACTGATCTTATTGTAGATGTCGCTGCTCACTGTTACAGAGTTGGAATTAGATAATCTTTTAGGTCCCTTCCAACCCAAATTATTCTATGATTCTATGATTATCCATGTCATGGTAGCAGAAACATTCAGGGAGACTGAACTCTCCATCACGGACATTAGATTCTGATGAAAAAGTGTCTTTTTCAGCCCTGGAGATGTCTCTATTGTCAGCATCCAGAGAAGTGGAAAACTAAGTGGAAGCAGGGTCATCTCTCACTGCTACGCATCCTTGGGTTTTCCAGGGAGCACTGCGATGGACCTTGTAGTAGATATTGAAAGCCACTCTCATTGCAATTTTTTCTTTATGGGTTTGAAGTCTTCAGAAAAAATTTTCCACAACTGCAATGCACAAGTCATGCTACGATTTATTGCTGACTCCCTGTGTTGCCTTCTCATGCATTCTGCCATGGACCACAGGCAGTCACAGCTATCCCACCAGCTCTTACCTGTACTAACCAAAGTGCTGTTGTTGTAAAGGGTTCCCAGGTGAGGGCCAGAGAGGGACAGGAAAGTGTGTAACTTGTTGAGGTAATAGCGAAACCTGGGCCGAGTTAGTACAGATCGAATGATGACGTTACCAAGGGAATGTCCAATAAAACTGTTGGGAAAAAAAGAATTACACTAACACAAAACCCATCTGTATTTTCTTTAAATTAAACACACAGATAGCACAAATTACTCTTGTGGGTGACTCTTTTACTTAGTTATCAGTTAGTCCTTTACCTGTCGTTTCATGTTTTTTTCAGTCTACAAGACACTGTTTCATCTATAACAATGTAAAAATTAGTCTCACTGATTCAATGGTTTGTAGTACAGAGCACTTTTGGAAAAGCTAATTTCACTGGGTGTTGCTCATGTAATTCAAAAAGTTACAGACTATTAACTACCATAGGGCTTACCTTATTCGGGATATGGAGAGGTTGTACAACTGGATATGCTGAATAATTTCATCCAATAATCGGTCAGTCATTGTATCAAAATCAGCAAAAGTATCAGTCTGGTGAGAAATGAAATGAGTTAGTGAATTAAAATATATACACTAATTGCAGGTAGATGTTGTTTTTCAAAGCAAAATGCAAGTAGAAATGTAATAACCTGTGTAAATTTTCTTTATACATGCTCAAGGAGGAAAAAGGGTGATTTTTCTCAGTCTCCAGGTCCTCTAAAAATTGAAGTTCTCTTTTCAAAGAGATTTTTGAATGACTCCACAATCCTAAGTATGATGCTAAAGCAGCCTGACTTGACATCGGTGATGACTGCTAATGCTCAGCTGTTCTAGATATCAGACTCTGCACATGGAAGAACAGCTTTTGCCATTTGGGAATCAATAGATTACAGCTATAAAACAGTTTACAGCATTATACGCTGACATGAGAGTTATGCTGATGATCAGGATGTCATCACGAAATTATTTGGCCATCTTAATCAAATGCTGTGTGTTTGTTATTCAACAGCCATCAGAAAGAGAATGAGTTTAGAGAAGCGAACAATTTGTTGCTTGCAACAGTACTGCCAGTTGTGAGACAATAAAACAAATAATATATTGTCCAGTCTATACAATTACAGGCAGATCTTACTCAGAACTGTGTCATTTGGCAATTCAACAGGGCTCTGAATCAAATTCATAACTAATGAGATGCCACAAAAACAATCATCAAGTGTTGGAACAGCTATTCAGTAAAACATATCAGTAATTAATGCTTTTGAAACATATCATTAATTAATGCTTTTGTGACACAACTCATCTTGCTAATTGCAGCCCTTGCAAAGGAAAACATGAGCATATTCATTTTGCAAGAGACTTAAAATAAATGTTCTCATAAACTACAAACAGTCCACTAACCTTCTGCCTGTTTGTTTTGTTTGCATTGATAATTAATGATTTCCTTCTAGGCTCATTATCCCAAACCGTTCAGGTTGTTTAAAACTGGAAGAATATCAGCCTGAACATTAATCATAAACAAAGCGCATCAAGTTTCATATTTCACCTGGTCATACCTCCATCCTTTACTATCATTTCAGCCTGACTGAGCTTTTCAAGTGCATCACAAATGAATGCCTAAAAGAAGTGATTTGCATTTTCCTCTGTAAGGTAAAACAGATAAATGACTGATTTCTTTGGTCATTTTCAGTGTGGTTCTCAAGGAAAGGAAAAAACAGTGATGGAATGCTTTGAAGCATCAAAATAGTCATCAAACCACCCACGTTCTATTTCCAGTGCCATGAGAATTTCCCCACCTTCACAGACTATGAGACCTTTAAAATAGTTCCCATTATGGGCTCTGGATAATGTTAAATATAGATGCTGTATGATTTTTCATTCTCTGAAAACATTCTCTTCTCTGAGGAAGGGCTTTGATGGAAGTATGAAGTGGTCTCGCTTATTTCACCTTGCTTACATTCACTGTACAGGTCTGCAGCTGACAGGGATGTGAGCTGGAAGGTGCTAAGTTCACAGATTGACACCAACCAGCCACTTCAAAAAATAAAAGCTGTTGAACAAAGAAGGTTGGAAAGTTTTGACTCACGTTTCTCAGCGGCTTATAAATCAGAATGATGTTTTTGACTGGGCACTGGAAATACTTATCTTGTGCATAAAGTTAGGCCCTTGTGCCATAAATATGTGTTCGTTGCAGAGCAAAGCACAGGATTCATTTCTGTTTCTCTACCTAGACCAGCAATCAATTTTTTCTGGAAGATATTTCTTTATCATTCAAGGAAATAAATCTCACAAACATTGCGACAGGAGAAACAATGGCTGATGCAGCACAGGGAGCTGACAACACCTGCTGGATATTCCATATCCTCCAGAGAATTTACCATAACTAAACTTGCTGCTTTTCATCTGTGCGGTGTTGCAGAGGCACCAGGCTGCCAAGTTTGCAATCTGACAGGATAAATCCATTTTCTTCCTCTAAGGTCTAGCCCTATTACTGTTAATGTCATTGCATTTGACTTTAATGCCAGAAATATTTTCCAATAGGTTTGAACACCTTACCAAATCAGAGAGTAAGAGGACCAGGCCTTTGCACTAAATGCTACATAAAATTCCCTGAATTCACAAGTGCTTTTGCTTCATTCAGCTGCTGAAAAGGCTTTTGTTTAAGGCCCTGTGTCAGTAATCTAAAGGAAGCCAGAAATTTGTTCTGTACTACCTGATTTCTTTCAGACATTAGGAAGTCCAGTTTTCCACCAGGAAGTCCCAATTCTATAAAAGTCTTTACCAGGCGCAGATCTGCACTGTTACCTGGGAATAAAAGGTACTTTATAAGATGCAATTCAGCAGAAACTAACGAGTATAGAGTCAATTTAACACAACAACCTTGACACCAGGGAGCTCTTGCTAAGTGCTGATAAGAAGGTTACCACACATTGAAACAGTGGGAGAGCAAGAACACCCACATCCTGCCCCAGGTGGGCTGGACCTCACTTGCTGCTGTGGGGAAAAAGGGGCAAAGATGAGGTACAGAATAACTCTGCCCTCTATTTGCTGAACAACAGAGGTAGGACACAAAGACAACAAGCTGAGATCTGTCCTTCCATGTCCACAGATGGTGAGCACCCCAAGGACACCTCGGTGCATGTGCTGGGTTATACGGCTGTACCTTCAGATGAAGAGTAGCCCACCTCTGTGTATTCACTATTAGAGATGGTGCTGAAATATTGTTAGACTCCTAATATTTGGACAGATGCCTCATTCCATACTAGGAAATTAGAAAGTCTTCCAAAATATTTTGTTAGAAAAGTAGGTATGGCCACCTCACGAGGAGGACATTCCTGCCATTGAGATATTCAATGGCAAACAGCCAGTAAGTGTTTGTTTTCCATTTTTTTGAGATTTCAGTCTCTACCCCTCTTTCTCTGTAGCTTCAAGGTTAAAATCTATACTTTTCCCATTAATACCAAGAATTTGACAAGAAAAAGTTCACATTTAACATAACTGTTTTCTGCTCAGAAAGCACACATGTAAAAAAATTCCAAGATCTGCTTCCTCTGCAGTGAATAATGATTTTTATTCTCCCACTTTCTAACACCAGCCACTCACTTCCCTATAACAGTGTTTTGGGGAGTTAAATATTTTTTTCTCCTGCTGACATACTGCAAAACAACAAAGTATCTGTGGAAAGACAAAAGAAGTTACTGTAATGAACTTCTACTGTACACAGGAGGACTGATATGCTTTGGTGTAAAATTCTGTTTAAACATAAGCAAACAAAGGTTGCTCCACCTCATTTCTTAGCCCAAATATTTCATATTCTCCTGGGTCCTTTATTACAATGGACCAAATAGCATGATAAGGAATAAATACTTAGCTAAGAGAAATACTTAGACTCTCCGTTCTTTCATACTTGCTGAACATCTGTCCTTTTTTTTTAATTTACACCAAAATGACTTACAAAGAGTAATTCCTCCTGGCCTTACCATCCAACCCATGGACACACACAACCAGGTGAATTCCATCTTCTAAATTTTCTTCCTCTTCCTCTGGTGGAAAATACGGGATATCAGAAGCTAGTACAGATAAGTCACTGTACAGAAATCCTTCAATCTTCATTTCTTTTTTAAATTTTTCTTTGGCCTGATAAAAACTGGAGAATACATTAATTAATCACAATAGAACTGGGTGTTCAACAACAAACCTTCAAACTAGAAATGAGAAGGTTTGTATTTGCTAGAAGTTATGTTTGCAGCTTTCAAGTAGAGACCTGGATACTCTTCTTTGTCTGTTAGGACTGAGAGAGATCAGGATGCAGGGAAGAAAGTCTGTTTCTGAGTAACTTGGTTAAATACAGGGAATAGCTAAAGTGCATTAGCACCTCACACATGCCAGAGGAATGAAAGAGTAGGGTAAAAATAATTTTCTGGTAGCTTGTAACAATGAGACTAAGAAACAGAATTAGCAATTTTGCATCTTAACAATATCACTGACCTTATAGGTAATGGAATACAAAATGTGTCATTTTGCTACCATCAGATGCATTTACAGTTAGGTAGAAGGTGTTCTCCTCCTTTCTCAGACTAGAGTTAAAAGATGCAACTCATATGGTAGATATTGTTGGTTTGGTTTGGTTTGGTTTTGTGTTCTTTTAAAAACATTTAGTAGCATTTAGAGGAAGAGTAACTCAGTGCTCAAAGAATTAAACTAATCCCTTTCCTAATAAAGGTCTAAAATGTGACACCTGAATTCACCCTGAAGCATTCCACTGGCTGAAGACGACAAACTCTTCAGGTGGGCTTTTGACTTAGCAAAACTTATCCAGAGCTTTTAGGAATTAATAGACACAACGTAAGTGTAGAATTAGGGAGAAAACTGGGATGAATCAAATCAGGAGACATAAAACTTCAAAGCTTGGGGACAGCTTAAGGCCACTTGATATAATTATAGAATCATTAAGGTTAGAAAAGACCTCTAAGATCAATGAGTTCAATAGTGAGCATTTACTTACATCAAGTCAACTAAATTTTAAGGGACATGAGAATGAAAAAACTAGCTTTTGGGTGATGGACGTGGACACATGCTTAAATGTTCTGTTTCACAAGAAGAAACAAATTTTGTGCTTAAATTAACCAAGACTTACAGCATTGTGTATAAAACAAACCTCAAAATGCTTTCAAAAGAATAAAAAAAAACCCCTTGCCTTTCAAAGGAATGCACATGCAGACAGCCAACATTTTGGAGGACTGAATGGGTTGACAAATTCCAATGTTACTGTTGGCACTCAACACAGCAGAGACAGCAAAATATAATGGAAGCGTACATGTGGTAGCGTGCCAATCTGTTCAGTGGGCCCCTGGGACATCAAAGTCATGGTGTGGCACTTCTGCATTGGGCAATGAAGCCAGAAACAATAATAATTCCTCTTCTCCAGATATCCATGGTTCCCATTGTCCCCTTTTTCCAGTTTGAGAAGCTGAAACTGAGACCTACCAACCAATCTGTGCTCCCATTTCAGAGTTAAGCTAATGAGTGCAATTACTGAAGCAGAAGAGAAAAATAATCTATAGCAGATCTATAGTGTACTGACTGTCTGGGGTTGATATCAAGTATGGGTAGCCTTGATTTCATGAAGGAGGGTCAGATCTTAAAGATTATTTAGACACGAAAATCCCACTCCTTTTCATGAGAATTAAGGACCTGTTGTCTTTGACAATCTTGGTCTCTCTGTGTTTTCATCCTTCCTGTCTATTTAGATAATTCATTCTATACAAACCATTTGTCTATTTGGATTATTTATACTGAAATTCCTCAGGCAACTGTCTCAAGTGCAAGATTGCTGTGTGCCTAGTGTACAGGGTCCTGAACTTTGCCGGGGTCTCTTGGCATTACAGTTACATTAGTGAAGTAATAAGACATTCTTACTTCAGCATTCTTTCGTTCGTCTCTTCATCCACCTCATCAGAATTAGAAGAGACAACTCCGAAGGAGCCCAGGGGCTGGCGCGTGATGGGGATCACAGCCTGCTTTGCAGAGAAGCCGACCATGGCAGGGGTCTCTTTGAGCACGGAAGAGAAGGGAAGACACGTGGCTGTGCAAGAGACTGACAGGTTAACCACATCAGCAGCCTTTCTGCTTTCCAGGGCTACTCCCTCCGTCACTGCCAAAGGAAACCCGGTGCCGTTCGCTACAAGTTTATGCTCTTGGCTGTTGGGTTCCTGAGGATGTTCAGCCTGGTAGGACCCTGTTGCAGGGTCTGCTGGGGCAGGTGAGTCATTGAGCTCTATTTCTTGTAACACCTGCATTTCTGCACACACTGCTGGGCTCTCATCAGCAAGAGAGCTGCCATACTCTCCTTGCAGTGAGTCAAATTCAGTGGAGGTCTCTGATGGAGCTGTAATGGGATAGCACAAATCTGGTACCACCTTTACACTTTGAGAGAAACTCTCCTCTCCTGAAATTCTGCTACTGCAGAAGCCCTGTTGTATTTTTAATTTGTCCAGTTTAAGTTTATCCTTTGGATCCTCAATGAATGTATCGAACTTATCTATATTTTGGTCCAAGTAATTACAAGCCCTTGGTGTTTTTAAGCTGCACTCACCATTGCTCTCCAGTGACTGGCTCTCAGAGACATTATCTTGGAGCTGCTTTGGACAAAGGGGTTGTCTTGCATTTTCCAAACTACAGCAAGTCTCTGGAAAACCTTTCTCCTCCCCTTGTAACTCAGTGTTATTGCTACTGTGTTTGAGGGGGAGTTCGGGATGTTGTCTTGGCTCTATTTGTCCACTTTCAGTGGTGATTTGACACTCAGAAGAGTCAATGATTAATTTCCCATCTTCACCCTCTGTTTCCATGCAGCTTTTTGGGTTTTGGTCTCCTGAGGTTGCCTCACCATGTTTGGATATATCCACCTCCTCCGTGGGCTCTTCTGGGCTACTGATCTGAGGAGCTGAGACAGATTTTGTCAGTTTGGTGAGCTCCACTTCCCGCTCCTCTTCCTCAAAAGGCAAAGAGCTGATGGATGTGAGCGATGCTTGGATCCCACTGGGCAAGCTGGTGTTGCTTTCCGTGTGTCCGCCCTCCAGGGAGTTCCGGTGGATGGCGTGCCTCCGGACCAAGGGGTGCAGGATCTCTCGATCACTGGGCAGCTCCAGCGCCCGACTCCGAGCATCAGACCACGCCACTGAGCTTGGTTCACTTTCAATGCCTGAATCAGATATTATAGAGGAAGATCTTTTAATGACCCCTGTCATGAGGGTAAACTCTTCACTCTCCTCACTTCGTTGCTCCTTTGTGAGCAATTTTGCTTCAAAGCAGTGTGAGGGCAAAGGTTTCAAAACAGGGAGATGAGTCTTGGTGTCAGGATCTTCTGGTTTTTCAAGACTGGTCAAATCATTCAGTGCAAGCTCAGATGAAGTGAAATTATTCTCAGGATGACCAGATTCATCTATTTCATGTATTTCAGTCCTGTCTTCTGAGCCATCAGTTCCACATGCTCCACACTCATACTGACCACTGACAATTAACACAGGCTCACTTTTGTGAGAGTCCTTATTGCTAGGTTTTGTGTCTCCACAAGTAACATCTGCCCCAAGTCTATTATCTTTTAATAAAACTTCCTTGGGTGTTTCAAAGTCTCCTGACATGTGTTCTGTATTGCCTGACTCTGAGTCAGAAACAGTTTCCCTTCTTGAAACAAAAATATTTTCAGATTTCCTTTGGCCTTCTTTGTTCGCTGTATATACCTGAGATGTGGAGTGCTGGTTTAAACCCTCAGCAGCACCTTCAGTACTGCTGTATAAGCATGAGGGATTCCTGTTTATCCTGTCATGTATTAGTGGAATACCTTTCCCAAAGTCTCCTTTCATTACTGCAGTGGCATCATTTGATACACAGTCTTCATTTTCATTTATTACATCCATTTGAGTATTTGCAGGAACCTCAAAATCTGAGAAAACTTCCAAATTCTGATCTGAAAGAAAAAAAGAAAAAAAAAAGATAGCAGTAGTACCTGTAAGAACACAATAAATTACACCAAAGTCATATGGAACTTTTAAAAGTGATTTTAAGGCCTAAAAAATTATCCTATACATATTTATATTATGTAAATTATACATACATTACAGGTACATTATAATGCACATCATGTCAGAGTGCATTTAACTAGAATTGTACTCACTGAACAGTTATTGTTAGGCCAAAGAAGACATTATCAATAAAATACATTTTCCTCAGTACAGCTGTACATAAACTCTTATTTTTTAAAGCACAGCTTAGTGAAATAAAGCTGATACTTCTTTGTATTCCTGTTGTCATTTGACGTTGTTCACAGTATAGCTCTTACTTTTGAAGAAGTTTAATACTCAGTTTAACAGTTTAAATATCTATAATGAGCACTGTCAAAATTTAGGCAGTAGAATAACTGTGGAAGAGTGGGAATTTTGTACCACAGGTTATGTTCATTAGACTATGGTCACCTATAATATTAATTCATATTGCTTCCTTGCTAGTCTTAATGGTTGAGTTAAAAGAAAAAATTACTAAAGTCTGAGGTTTTACTAAAAAATTAACATAGCTAAATAGTTTCTTAATTAAAAATTTTGATTTGGATAATCAAGGGCAAAATATTTTTGGAAGGCAATACTACCTTTCAGGAAAGTGTTGGGCTTCACAATGAAATTGTGGTTTTTTTGTTCTGAGATTTCTTACCACTAGATGTCACAGTGGGAATAACAGTCATAGTGTTTTTCCTTTAAATTTGTACTATAACAAAAATCCAAACAATGTAGTTTTCTTTCTAGATTTTGCCTCCAGCTCTTTTAACAAAACAGCTTACTTTGAAGATGAAAAATATGAAGGAAATACTCTAGTTTTCTATTATGGAAAACAGAAGAATTCAGATGAATTACTTAGGGAGTCACACTCTCTTCCAAGATCACCAGCACAAGGGATGTGAGATGACTTATCTCGGGTTGGAACAGCAAAACTCCCTCAGTTCAAGCTGTCCCAGGAAGCTGCACCTTATGGTGTTTCACTCACCTTTGCAAGGCATATCCATGTACCTGTCTTCAAAGATAACTGGGAGAGTGTTCCAGTCCCCGTCGATGTCGAGGCATTCTGCCGGCAGTGGGGGCATGCTGGTGAAATACTCTGAGTTACGAATTTCTGTAGAAATCTGTGCGTGGCTTTGGATCCTGGCAGTAAAGTACAAAACAAATTGAGGGTTTGAGTAGTTACTGTGCTGTCTCTCCATCACTCCTGCAAGCCCCAATATGAAGGCAGAGGACAGAGTCAATGTCCTTAAAGGGAGAGGGAAGATGCGTGACGGGAGATACCCAGCATTCCTAGGACAATTCGATCTCTCAGTAAGAAATAGCTGCAACTTGCACAATCCTTTATTTGAAGACCTCAGCATTTTTGAAACTATTCCAGCTGCCACTGCCACAGGCTCCTGTTAGCTGCCATAAACCATTGCTGTCCTCCCAGGGGTCACAGTTGCTGGCTGGGACTGGATCACTCAACTGTTTTCCCGGTCAGGAAAAAAGGTCTGTCACTCTGGCTAAAGTCAGGGTTTCAAAACCCAGACGCAGGAAGCAATAATCGAAAATTTGGTTGAGCAGTACAGGGAGGAACAAAGCCAAGGAGATTCATGGCAGGTCCTCTGTCTCACTTGTACCAGACCTCAGAGCACTGTGGTATCTCACACACATACGTATCTGGAAGAGCTAAGATACCACTGTCTGTTGGCAGAGCTAGAGTTATAGAATCATGGAATGATTTGGGTTGGAAGGGACCTTAAAGATCAACCAGTTCCAACCCCCTTGACATGGACATGGACACCTTCCACTAGATCAGGTTGCTCAGGTTGGCCTTAAACAAGTCCAGAGACAGGGCATCCTGAACTTCTCTGAACAACTTATTTCAGTGCCTCACCACCTTCACACTAAAGAATTTCCTCCTCCTATCTAATCTAAACCTACTCTCTTTCAGTTGGAAGCCTCTTCCCCTTGTCCTATTCCTACATGCCCTCGTAAAAAGTCCCTCTTCAGCTTTCTTGTAGGTCCCTGTCTGTTTCTATCATTTGGGCCACGCAAAATGCTACCAGGCTCTCATCAGTTAAAACTGGAACAGGAATGTGTGTTCAGCTATAGTAAATACAATAATTTTTAGTCCTGATGAGCTTTGTTATTTAAACATCTGTCCCCCAAAAAATGGGAACGCATCAAATACAAAGAAGGCAACAAGCTTTTCATAGATGGTCAGCTGAAAGTAAGTCTGTACAGATCCCATAGGACAACACAGTGGCAATACTTCAGATTAGCATTGGCAAAAGGCAGGTTATCATATGGTAGTTAACTGTAAAAATGCACTTTACACATTATGAACCAAAACTGAAACAGCAGGTGTGGAATTCATGCCAGAATGGAAGATTCCTATGTCCATGCACAAATAATTCATTCAGAGCAGCATATCAGCTCCAACTTCAGATCATAATTATTGCTATCTATCATTTTTTCTTACTTCTAGACAGGTAATTTTTTCCTCGGAGATAAACAAGTCATTGGTTGCTAAAACATGACTCAGATAGGAGCCTCAAACAGCCAACTGATCAGTCTTGCTGGCAGTAACACCTGGGTGTTTGGAGTTAACTCTTAGCACCATGATAACTTTATCACTGACATGTTAATTAATAGAATCATAGAATGGTTTGGGTTGGAAGGGACCTTAAAGATCATCTAGTTCCAACCCCCTGCCACTGGCAGGAACACCAGACCAGGTTGCTCAGAGCCCCATCCAACCTTGAATGCTTCCAGGGATGAGGCATCCACAACTTCTGGCCTTGAACACTTCCAGGGATGAGGCATCAACAACTTCTCTAGTAACCTGTTCCAGTGCCTAAACATCCTCACAGGGAAGAATTTCTTCCTAATATCTAATTTGAAATTACTGTCCTTCATCTTAAAGCCATTACCCCGTCTGATTATTACATGCCATTGTGAAAAAGATGAATAATTGTTGTTAAAAGGAGTGAAGAAAAGCATTTTTGTCTGTAAATCGAGGGAGGATATACCACCTGACAGATGCCTCCACACTGGGCCATACCCAGAATACTGGAAATGGTGTGTCCTCTTCAGTCTAACCAGTCAAATGCTATCAGACACGTAGGTGCACGGCCTCACACAAACTCATAACAGTATAGGAGGCATAAACCAGCTCTTGTGTAGTAAGAAGGAAGAAAGAACTGAGGGACTAAACTGTTACTGCTTGAGGTGGTTGTACAGGACCTGGCACACTGAGCACCGATCTCAGCTGGAGACTCTGTGAGTCCAATTAATACTCGCTACTGTCACCCACAACATTAATAATACTCTGACAGGTAAGACTGTTTTTCCAGCTCTATCATCTAGCAAATTCAAAAAGAAAACATGGCTGCCACGAGGCCTGTATAGACTATATATGCTACACAGACCAATTTTTAATTTTTTTAACTATTTTACTTTTTTTTACTCAGTCTCCTTGATAATCATTAAGAAAAACACTATGTTTATATGTAGGAAATAGGCTAGTTCTGTGGCTGCCTGGAGAAATAAAAGCACTTCATGCAATTAGGCTTCCTCCTGTGCAGAGTTATGTTTGTTTGAATGGGGCCATGAGTGTCTGTGCCTTCACCCCAGGATCTTGACATGGGGATTTTCCTTGTACACAGTTCACTAAAATCCTGATGTGGGAGAACCAAGGGAAGCAGCTGGGCACCTGCAGCCCTGGTGCTGCTCTAACTTGGCAGAACAAGGTAGCCTGGTACCACTCACCCACTAATGAAGTCATGGCCCTTTCCATCGCCACTGAATCAGCCTTAATGTCCCCAGTGACAGCTGTGAGAAAGCAATTTTCTTCTTTGCACTGGGTCAGAAGCAAATGGCTCACTTAAGGCTCATAATCATGACAGAACCTGATGTCATGGCCTTTAAACCCCTTCTGAAAGATGGGTTTGCACACTGGCAGTGCTATGGTCCCCCCTTGGTGACAGGCTGTTTCAGCAGACAAATAGTCTGGACATTCCTCATTACTCAGAAATTCAAATCTGAGCATCTTTGAACTCTGCCTTCAAGGGTCAGGTCCTGAATATTGTCCACGTGCTCCACTTGGGATCATTGGCTAAAACTAAAGGCAAAATTTGCCCAGGTGCAGGTTTAAAACTGGCTTTACATGCTGCCCTACTTGGTTGCAAGTAAGAAATGTCCAGTAGAGGGAAATACTTACATTGCCAATGTTTTAGGGCATATTTTTATGAATGCAGCCCAGTTCAACATTTGTTTTTCTTGTCTGTTTTATATAGTTGCTTCTTGATCAATTCATTAACAGCCCTGAACTCATATCACACCCATGTTTTCTCCTGTTAATATAGTGGTATTCCCCATTCCTGCCCTCCACTGCTGGATCTACTGAACATCCACAGCTTTGCACTGGCTGTTTAATGCTCCTGTCCACATTTAAATATCCTTTCTGCTATAGAAAATAGGGCTGGACTAAACCCTAAAAGAAATCCATGACTGTCTACCCCAAAAATGTATATTAGGGATCATAGAGAGAAAATTTGTAAATTTTAAGATTTGTTTCTTCCCAGTAGTTCCCATTAAACTACCTGTGCTGGATCTGGTGCATTTGGTTCAGGAATTTAATTGAAGAAAGGGATATGTGTGTGTGTGTGTGTGTGTGTGTGTGTGTGTGTGTGTGTGAAGCTTGAAGTTAATTCTTTCTGGGTCCTGATCAGAGTCACTTACTTTTGAAACTCATTTTAATGTTTTTACAGTATGGAGCTAAAACAGAGTCAGTGACTTCTCTCAAACCAAACTCCTCCATATCCAGCAGAAAAAGACCTCAGTCTTGACTGTGAAATGTTTTAAAGTAAATTTTCAATCATTCCAGTGACAGGGGAGGGTTAATGGGTTACTTACAGGCCTTCCTGGAATGTGAGCACAGCAGGTTTCTGGTGCTCAGTGTAGAAGAAGGCTTCTGAGAATCTCCTCACCTGAGAGGGAGAGACACACAAGTTAAACAAAAGATCTGCTGAAACATGCCAAGTACCACAAGTCTAATAACAGAACAGTGACTGTCAGGGCCAGATTCCTCAGCGTGGTAGTATCATTCTGTTGACAGAAAAAAACAAAGAGTTCAATTCTGCTTCACTTCCCCAATCTGGCACAGAACAGGTGGTGCTGTTGCGTATTTTGCTGTGAGGTAAGAAGTGTCCTTTGACAATAAATCAAAATTTGGTTATCTACATCTTCTACTACTTTTCTAAAAGCTGTGAAATTTACCATTTCCCCTCATATTCTTAAAGTGGGGAAGATTTCTTCCTTTCCAAATTATACAGCATTAGTGGAGCAACTAACTAAATTAGAACAATTGATTGTCTCTTCTATGGGAATATCCGCAGTGACTCACAGTGGCTTTCAAACCACCAAGACAGCAAAGGAAGTCATACATATCAGTCCAGAGGAGAATAAGCCCTATCACTGCAGAAGCACACCTGCCTATGTCATGATACAAAATGAGAGCTCTTCAAACCCCTTCATGGGCATTAGATCTGTTCAGTGCTGGATAATCAATTACAAAAGAGCCATGGATCTGAAGTGGCTGGCAGAGTACAGAGTGTGAAATAAGCTATAAAAAACTCAGTGCTGTCATCTGCCCTGGAATAAGCTTTGAGTTTAAATGAATCAAGCATAATATGCAATCAAATGTACTGAGCTGTTAAACTGCAGTCCATACATTCTTAATAGTAACTGTAAAAGTGACCTCTGTTACAGTGACAGAAAATGGCAGAGAAAAACATATGTCACAGCATCTCAGCATCTCCCTAAACCCCAGCTGTACTTTAACAAATGGCCTTTCTGAAAAAAAAAGACTAGTATCCCTTAAAAAACCTATATCTTAATAGTAGGAATTTTCATCTAGGGCTCTCAAACTGTTTTCCAGAGGTGGAAATGTATAATTACACACAGTTTATATTGGAAGTAACAATTTATGTGGAGCATACAAGGGTATGTAGTTTGACAAAGGCCAAGCAGGTAGTAGGCATCAGTCGAGGCTGGAAGAAACCACAGGCTGGGATTCACCTTGCTGGAGCTGGGAGCATATAGAGTTGGGTCCTTTGGCTGAAAGACACCCAGGTCCTCTCAAAGTCAAGGGAGACCTAGTCAGACTAACCAGGGGAGTCTCAGCATAAGGCACTCGTTCACCTCTTCCTGAATTTTATGCCACACTTTTGCAAGCTCAGCCATGCTCCTGGGGAGAGAAACTGGAGGTTTGTTCTGGTCACTCTGGAGAGTCAGCAGACCTCCAGTGACTTTGACAGGAGCAAAAACGTAAGCTGAGATGTCAATACTTCATTATATGCTCCTAAAGCTAATCAAGGTGAATCCCACCCTTTTCTCTAATGACTAGATCAGACTGAGTTCAGCTCAGGGGATGTGCTGAACTGATGTCTGGTCAATAACCAAGAACGTCCTAATGGAGGACAAAGCACTTGCTGTACTAATCAGACAAGCAGATCTGACAATATTAACTCAAATCACAAGTGCTTTCGTGCCTTCTTTATTACCAAGTACAAGAAGAAATTTCAACATCAGCAATATTAGTATTTTGTTGTGTGCACCTCACTGGAAGAAAGGCAAATAGCTATATATAAAAATATATATGTGACAAAGAGAAGAGAACAAATTTATATTCCTTGTGGCAGTTTTGTGAAAGTAGGTGAGATAAAATCATATTTTTGGTTATCTGTCACTTTAATGTTTGTGGCTTCTAAAACAAATGTTTATGAGTTATGGATATCTGACAAGTACAGGTGATATCTACCTCTTCCTACCCACCTCATTTTCTATGTCTGATGCTGATGTTTGAAGTGCACTCATTTTAAATAGAATCCTAGGTTACACAAAGGCAACAGCATTCATTCCATAAATTGAAATCTGTAATTTCAAATCCTGGGCTTCACCTCTTCACCTCTTGTTCTGCTTATCCCATTTCACATAAATACTCATAGAGGCAGAATTGTATTGGAAATATACATTTAGATAAAGCATTAATGCCTGTTAGGTGATGACCATTACTGAACTTGCTTAACATTACCCTTAGCATGTGATGTTCCTGAGTCAGATAAGCTGTGACTTCTGGATGGAGCGTTGCCACCTCTAGGAACTGGGTCCACAGGGCCAGGAGGTGAGAACAAAGCCAGGCAAGGTCCTTGCTTATCTGTTCTGCTATCTTTTCTGGATTGCTCAGCAGCTGGAGGAAAGAAAGGAAATTCTGACATCAAGACAGTGCTATGAAAAAGAATTAGTTCCTATGTCGGATTAAGTCCTTTTAAGAACAACAGCAATAACAAAAATTCCTCTTGATTTAGAAGTAGTATTTTTAAAGCCACCATTTTGAGTTATTTTACTCCAAATAAATCCGGTGACACTTTTTTTTTTCTCTTTAAAAGCCATATATTTTAGTGCAAAGGTTCTTAGTTACCCAGTTGGAGAGCAAGAAGTGAGAACAGACTCAGTCTTTGCAGACACTTTACTCAGATGTTGTAACCAGGGAAAAAAAAAAATCAAAGAATGTGGGTTCCAAATTATCCACCAGATGGTGCTGGATGCTCTGAAATACTAAACCATGGCCCGGTTCTCTTAGCAAAAGGAGCCCTCTCAGCCATGTCACATTAGGATACCAGATGGGCAACTGGGGAGGAAATGAACAACAAACCCAAACCCAAACCACTGTGTCCTCAACACATGATGAAAACAGACATCTCAAGAGTGTGCTGTTACTTCTCTCTCACACTAACACATGCTGGGACCCTGAGTGCCCTCCAGCTCTGGGCTGCAATTCTGTGCTAAAGCTTTGCAGTGAGAAAGCTCATGCTGGCAGTAAAGTCTCTGCACATCAGGTTTCCTGTTTCACAATTTTATAGACTCACAGAGTCATAGAATGGGTTTGGTTAAAGATCATTTCCTTCCAACCCTCCTGCTGAGTGCAGGGACACCTTCCACTAGACCAGGTTGCTCAGAGCCTCAGCAAACCTGACCTTGAGCACTTCCAGGGATGAGGCATCCAGAACTTCTCTGGGCAACTTGTGCTAGTGTCTCACCACTCTCACAGTAAAGAACTTCTACCTAATGTCTAATCTAAACCTGCCCTCTGTCAGTTTAATGTCATATCCCCTTGTCCTATCACTACATACCACTGTAAAAAGTCCCTCTCCAGCTCTTTTGCAACCCTTTTAATTACGGTAAGGTGTTAAAAGGTCTCCCGGGAGTTTTCTCTTCCCTAGGCCCAAAAACCCCAACTCTCTCAATTTATGTTTATAATTGTTAATGTAAGGAGAGACAGAAATTGCATTTTATCTCCATGTTTTGCCACAGAAAGAACAGATCTGAGCCTTCATCTATTCCCAGGGTCCCTACATGTTTCCATGAAACCATTAATAACACCAGAAATACTCCAGAAATAATACCAAATATCACAATCAGCTCTTCACCAGGTCTTTCTTTCAGTTAGAACTGCAATCCAGCTGAAAGCCTGCTTATTTTTCACATTTTATTATACAGATAGTTTTCAGATTTATGACACTGAAAACTAAGCCACGAAAAAACAAATTGTCTGCGTGTGAGAAAAGCAGAGATTTGTGTGTTGATAACACAGATGTTGTCACTATGTTTATATTGTCTAGATGCTATTCTATTTTAAAAACTAGTCCAAAATGGCACAAGCTCATTCCGGTACCAGAAAAATCAGGGAGATACTGGGAAACAAAACATTCTGCCCAAACGTTTCCATTTGCAGAGTCAGGGAACTACTTTATTTATGGCACCCAATTTTATATGCTGTGATTCAGTGCTAATTTTTAATTTTTTAAGCCACTTTCTTACATCATAAACTGAAATCTCAGTCTTCAAGGAAGATACATTATTAATGCAAGTCATTTTAGGAATAGTTTTGTGATGGCTATTTTTCAAGTTTATTGGTTCTTAAACTTTTGAATGTATCAGAGAGGAAGGAAGAAAGGAAGGAAGGAAGGAAGGAAGGAAGGAAGGAAGGAAGGAAGGAAGGAAGGAAGGAAGGAAGGAAGGAAGGAAGGAAGGAAGGAAGGAAGGAAGGAAGGTAGGAAAAGACAATGCCTGTTTCTGTTCCCATGGGAGTTAGGTGCTGAAAAAACCTCCGGAGCAGTTAATTAGAGGTGAGATAAGAAAGGGTTTATTATGCCAAGGCAAAGATGTTACAAGACGCGCGCAGGCCGTGCCTGAGGTGTTACATTTTATAATATCATCCATCCAATCCCAGATGTGTCCACCCTGTGGCCTTTACTCTGGACTGCCCCAGGTCCACCCCCGAGAAATGGGTCTGGGGTGCATTTCGGGACCCTCTGTTCATCCCATCTTCATCTTCATCAGAGCACAAAGGGTACATAGTCACCCAGTTTTTGACCGTGTTCTGTGGTTTAGGCCAAGATACAAGCATTCTCCAAACAATCTGGGCCTTGCCTTGACAGAAGACTAAACATTTCTGCTGTATTCGGGGGTAGGAGTGATATAGGGAGCATAGAATGGGGTAAGAGGGTTAAGGAATGTGTAAACTAAGGGTGCTAGAGGGAAAGGGACAAGGGAGAGAGTGAGGGATGCTGCTTTTAGAGTCTACTTCCACTACTTACAAAACTTACAAGTATTAGAAAAATAAAAAACCATTAGGGGCTTAAGGTATCATTCTATTGCAGTGCTACACACAGGTCAAATCCCAGGGACTCAGTTTCTCAGACTAAAATCCAGCAATTAAAAAGATCACCAGCTGTGACTTACTCCATCCACACACCTGCTGTCAGTCTGCATCTTTCAAAACCCACACTGGTGGACACTGGTTTTAACAATGCTGTCACACAAAACAAATTAACAGGGCTTTTTGAGGAGTTATTTTTCCTTGTTTGTTTATAAATCAATCACACAATTGAAAAACTATTTCCCTTCCACTTTCTCCTGCGTTGAGTATCTGCTGTGCTCTTGAGTTGAATACAAAGTCATGGCAGGTTAAACTCACTTTTCTTTCTTCTTCCTTTTTTTTTTTTTTTAATTTAATTTTAAAAATGGACCTGGCTCTGGTAACACAGTGGTAATAGGAGACTAACCCCACAGGCCTCTCTCTGTATGGGTTCTAATAGCTTTTTCTTCCTTTATAAATGACTGTTTTTCTTATGTTCTGCTGAAAAAAAAAAAAATGGTTTCAGTTCACATATCCCTAGAGGCAGAATACTGGGAGAGCTTTGCAATACTAATCTGTACAGCACAGAGGTACATGCACTGACACTGCAGTGATGGTCAGGGCTGCACCTATGTCCTACCAATATTGTGCAAGGTCTCAACCTCTGTATCAAGTCCCTGCATACTCACTGTCTTTATAATCAAATAGATACATAGAAAGCTGTCATCCTATGATTCTAAGGCAAAACATTTTCCAGCATACAGGAAAACCTATAGAACTGGCTGTTCTGGCTGTTTTGTTTCCCTATCTATTGCCACTGCCCTCATCAGATTTCAAGCACCAGTCAAAGCAGACTGGTTTTATTAATATTGCCATGCAAGACAAGTCAATAAGATCTCAGGAAGAAAAATTGCACAGGAAGTAGAAAATACAGAGAAATTAATGATGCCATTTTCAGACGTATGCCAAGCCAAATTGGACTTTCACAGACTCATAGAAAATCAGTCCAGAGGAGACTCTAGATTGTGTTGTCTGTCCTATACTCTTACAGCTTCTAAATCTAGTAAAGTTGAGCCCAATAACTTACGTTTTTCTAAATCAATTTTATATGAAATTAGATTTCTTGAAAAGTATCCAAGTTAGGACTTAAAACTAATAAATTTTTAATTTCAAACAGTTTTTAAGTCATGGGTGACAAACATTACCCCACATTTTGTAACAGGAGTGTAAATGGACTTCCTGTTAGGTTTGGACTCATCTTTCTCCTTTGTTATCAAATTCAGTTCCCTGGGAAAGTGGTGGAGTTATCAAAACTGGAATTGTTCAAAAAATGAGTAGATGTGGCACTCTGTGATATGGTTTACTGGGCATGGTGATATTTGGTCAGAGGTTGAACTTGATGATCTTGGAGGTCTTTCCTAATCTTAATGATTCTATGGTTCTATGATAAATAAAATCTATTAAATGTCTGATTCTAAAACACTTTTTCCAGTGATCAGCTGGTGCTTGCATTCCTCCCTGTCACCCTTGATGACTTGTCTATGTCTCACTTGAAATAAACTTGGCAGAAAGCAAGTTCAAGAGAGTAGTTCAGTCACTTCTGTGCCAAAAGAACTTTTTTCCTCCCATGAGCCTTCTTGCACTTTTAGGTATTTTTATTTGAAAAGATATTGTTGTACAGCCTGCCAAGGCATCTTTTCTCCTGTCAGCAGAAAAGCTGTAATTGCAACCTACCCCAAATAATTTTTTTCTTCATACTGATACTCAGGACTAGGCTCACTGAAGGATGTTAGAGTAATCCAGCTGGTGACTTGTTAAAAGTGACAGGAACACCTTGTATGTGACTAATCAAAATGATGTGAAATAATTGGTGGAAGAGAAACAAACTTTCTAATGGCACCAAACTTCCTTTCTCCCAGCTCTGATATGTGAGTGGTCTGTCTCAGTGCACTTGAAAAATGGACCTGAAAAACCTATGGGCAGATTCTGCTGAAGAAAATACCTGCAGCTCCATACAAAGCTGGGACAACGTCTCTTCCACAGATAGCTCCTCTGGGGAAAAAACACAAAGAAAGAGATCAGGTTTGAGAACAGCAGAAGTGAAATGTTAATGCTCTGGTGTTTATTCATGTGAGGCCAATTTATGACCTCGTTTATTCATGAGGTCAATTGTCACTTGCCGGACAGGCAAGTTCCTATTTGGACGTGGGCACTCCACAACCCCCCTTGTACTGATGCAGGTGCAACTTCTGCTCATGAAACCTAGACCACTAGATCAGTAGAAGTTGTTGTTGTGAAGACAAAGACAACAGAATTTGTTTTTTTTGGCTTTTCATTGCCTACTCTCTCTTTTGCTAGGAGTTTTCTTATTAGCCTTTGGTATTTATGACCAACTGCAGAACTGAATGCAAAGCCTGAGCAAATGACGTGCAAAAAGTGGTGATTCCTGGTATGTTACAAAGGACTGTGTAGCGATACCAGATGCGTGACTAGTAAAAGATTGGGCATCTCTGCACTGCCTTGGGAAGTTTGAAGCACCTCATTACTACATCAAGGAGCAGTGTTTTGATGCAGTCCTGAGAGAATCCAGCACAGGGACACTCCACTTAAAATTCACCATGGACTATAAGGCAAAGGAGGACATCAATCAACTCTGTAACTTTGGCAGCTTGATTTTGCAATGCGGAACTTTCTAATAGTATCCATGAAAAAACAAAGCAGGAACAAGGCAGAACAACTAACAAGCCAATCCCCTGCCCAGTCCCCAAATGATTCTTCTCAAATAGTACTAATAAATGGGAAAGGACAGGCCAAGATCAGAGCACCTTGAAAAGACCTAATCTTAGCTGGTAAAATTTGGGAAATAATTGTTACCATTTTTAATGTCTAAACTAAGATATTATTTTTTTAATATACTACTCAGGGAGCTAGGAAAAAATAATTAAGGAAGTGTGTAGAGATTTATAGTCTTGGATTTGTCTTAAACTTCTGTAGAAACCTATGATGAGATTATTCTGACCAATACAGCAGTTACAGTTGAGCCATTTACATTTTTCCCCTAGTCAGTGGATAAATATAGCAATTACAAGGTGCATTTCATGCCATCCCAAAAGTAGAAAGCATTACCTATCTTAGATAACATATTTTTAAATGGGCCTGTTTCACCCCAATAGTTACAAGGAGACAGATATAAAAATTTGATTTATGTTCATCTCTCTGCGTGAATCTTACACCCCATGATTTTATTGAGTTTTCCAACAGGTGTCAGAAGATCAGCCTTAAAATCAAATCTTCAGTAGGCTTTCAGACTGTGAATAAAATGATACAAACAGCACTCTGCTCAAGAGGCTAAAAAGGGTATTTGCATTTAGCAAATTTGCATGTGTTGCAAGAAGTACATTTGCAAATGCAGTGCCTGCCTCAGTACCAGTAATCATTTGAAATCCAAGTAAATTTTATTTAGAAAATCTGTCTGTGCTCTAGGGCAGTTCTGGAGTTGTGGTCAAGCAACGAAACATAACTCTTACATCTCCCAACCTATAACCCTGCCTGAGTGAGCCACAAATCTTTTATTATATGTGCCTGATAATCCAGATGCATGAAGCAGGAGTTTTGTTTCATGTTGTATTCTGTCTGAGGGCTCATAAATTCCAAATTAAAATGCTGTAATTTTTTCCTCTCGTAGCTGGATTGAGTAACACATTATGTGCTCTTACCATCCTATCTATGACTTTTAGGCTACCTTGAAGGGAAATATACGTTGGGAAACAAGACATGGAGTGGAAAATAGGAGCTATTAAGTCCATAAGTGTGTGAAGCATAATGTATTGTGTTTGATGGTTCTTGTATACAAGCACTATACTGGAAAATGCATTTTACTCCCTTTTAAAACCTGCTGGCCAATGCAATTGACCCTCCTAATGTAATTATCTCTGCAACATAACAAACTGATAATTCAAAACCTGCACACAGAAACACAACGGCTCAAAAATGCAGATGTGAAATTATGGGTCAGAGTTCTTGAATTCAAAGAAACAGGTGGGAGAGAAGGAATGAGTCAGGAATGTCTCTCATTTGCATAGGAGCTCATGCTGTCATTACAAAGATGACTAAACACAAATTGCAGAGCTCCATGCAGCAAATCCAGCCAGCATTTTCACATTGGACCTAACAGGCCTGACCAGCCAAAAAAATCTTCTGCCGAAACCAGAAAATCTATTAAACAATTGAATTAGGAAGCATAATAATTTTGAAGAGCAAGATGTAATTGGCAGGGGAGAAATACATTGTGAATTATAAAGAAAAGAATATTATTCAAAACCACTCATATCACCTTTCAGATTTTTCTTTTCAATTTTAAAAAAATGTTTTCTCAGGAAAAAAATTATGTTAAAGTCTTCCCTAGATTTCATGGACATTCAGAACTGGAATTTCCACTTTTCAAAATGCAACTGAGGCCAAAAATCACTGAAAGGCAAGTATTTTGAGAAATTTATCAAAATATTTTCTCCCTCTACACATTAGGCCACATCATATAAAAGGATCCATCTAAGTTGAGGATTTATTTTGACAGTGTGCCAAAATAAATACTAATCAGAAAATAGAGATGAAAATCCTTTTAATTCTCTAAACAACCCAAGAATTTTGGTACTGAAATGCATGTTGATAATGCAGCACTGTAAAATATTCAGTGATTTTAAATATCTGTTCACTTACCCAACTTCAGCTGTGGTAAATCAGGAATCTCATTCATTATGAGGGTGTAGTACGTGTGAAGTCCTCTTTGAGCATTCAGGAGCAGAAGACAGAGGTCCTTATGCCATTTGTATGCATGCTGCATGCAGTTTTCAGATGGGACATAAAAGCTGCCCTGTGAAGCAAAAATATCAAGAAAATAAAATACAGAGATTAAAATTCATGGTCTCAACTTGTGCTAGAGGTTTCCACAAAACCCCAGTTATGGAGAGCCTTTCATTTCTTTTTACAAGGGTGTATAGTGATAGGACAAGGGGTAATGGCTTTAAACTAAAAGATATTGGATATTAGGAAGAAACTATTTACTGTGAGGGTGTTGAGGGACTGAAACAGGGTGCCCAGAGAAGTTGCGGCTGCCCCATCCCTGAAGTGTTCACGGCCAGGGTGGATGGGGCTTGAAGCAACCTGGCCCATGTCAGGAGGGTTGGAACTAGATAGTCTTTAAGGTCCCTTCCAACCATTCTGATTCTGTGGTTCTATGGTTCTAATAAAGCAGATGGCCACAAAGAGAGATTTTAACCATCCCAACCTCCCAGTCATCTAACTAGTTAGATGTGTAATCCGATAGTATCTAATTCCACACATTCATTTTGCCCAAACCATAACAAAACTATTAGGTCCCAGTAATGTTGCCACATGAAAAGACCCTCAGAGCAAACAGTCCAACAGAGAAATCTATCTCTGTCCATCACACACGTCCCACTGTGGAGCCAATGTCTGTCCTCATAACACACCCTCTCTGGCAGAGGAGAAGGGGTGGAAAGGACTATGAAGTTGGTTGCATTCACTTTCCTATTCCATCATATCCTCTTATCCCCTCCTGTAAAGGTTATAGCTTGATGGTATCATGGTTTGCTTTGTTATGTGTATTAGTGAAAAAAAAATGCAGATGGCATTGCCATCCTGTCAACAAATATGAGTCATTCCTTACTACAGGATCATTGTCTGTATCAGTATATCTCTTGTGGGAAGATGCAACTGGACAGATCACAGCATGTTATCACAAACATTTCCCAAACAACACACTTATCCTTAGAACATAATATCAGTTTGCATTAGGGCACCATAAATCAGAAGTTCTAACTACTGTCAAAAAATTCTTATTCTTGTATAAATTACTCATATTTGAAATTTGTAATGTTTAGATTTAAAGTAAAACAACTTATTAATCCATGGGTTTGTGAAACATGGACAATTTGAAATTTAGACCACTGCTTGTCACTTGGTGGGGTGAGAATACAATTCTTACATGCCAGCTAGGTATTGACTGCCTTTTTGGACAGTCCAAATATCTGTGCATCTCCAGGAGCAACAGAGAAGCTTCACCAACCACATACTGATGCAGGTCCTGCAATTTTCTCCCTTTGACTTCCCTAAAACCTGTATTTCGAACCTCTTAGCTTGAGCTGGGATGTTCTCCTGAGCTTTCTCACTTAAATCTTCAAGAAGTTAATTAGCATTCTGCGGTAGACACAAAGGGAAGTGCTCATCTAGACCCACAGAGAGATGGTTGATAATAACTTATGGAATTGGTTGTTTTTCAAAGGTTTCAAAACTTCCAGCCTCAGCATGAATATTTTTTACTCTCACCACAGATTATAGAAAAGGGGAGCATAAAGAAATGATGCTTCTATTGAAACAATAGAAAATTGGAAGTGAATTGATGTACAATGTCATAAAAATATGCCCTCTTTTACAATCCATTGCTGATTTTTTTTTAGGTTTAAGTTAATCTGGCATTTAAATGCTACACTGATGAACAGAAGGAAGAATGTGAGCTAATTTCATAGTTTGTATCAATGGTATAGCATGGTGTTATGCATGACTACATTTTAATAGGTCTATTTTCAGACTTTCTTGGCATAGACTATAGTTGCAAACTAAAAATAAAAAGTAATAGGAAAATGCACCTGCAGGTGGGCTCAAAAATTATGTGAACTAAAGCTGTTTAAAATCTTACTCAATTAGTTCAGGTTTGAGTTCTTTAGCATTTGTCTGGTTCTCTCATGGTACTTTATCAAATTTATCCTTAGCTGAATTGATTAAAATTCTGAGAGACCAGATACTTCAAATTATTGAAGCACGGGGAGAGTATTGCAACAATTTACTTAGTGGCAAAACATAGAAGGAAACACTATTAAAAAAAAAGAAGAAGAAAAATAAAACAGTAAAACCAGTCCATTGGGCATTCCATATTAGCAGTACAACTTGGTCATTATTGTAGAAATTTAGAATAGTTTAAGTGGGGACCTTTGGAGGTTACCTCATCCAACCGCTTACTTAAAAGAGGTCTAATCAGATCAAGCTGCTTAGTGTTGGGTCCTGCTGAGTCTTGAACATCTCTGAAGAGATGGATTCTACTCCCTCTTTGGCAATGTGTCCCAGGGTTTTACCATCTTCACAGTTGTTTTGTTTTTTTTTTTTGTCTGATATGAATTCAGAATTTCCCAGGTTTGACCTTGTGTGTGTGTAGCCTCTCGTCCCACTCACCATCGAGAAGATGTGGCTTCATCTTCTCTTTGTTTGTTAATCAAGGTAGTTGCAAATGACAGTAACTTCCCCCCCACCCGGAGTCTTCTCTTCCCTGGACTTAACAAGACCAGGTTTCTTGGCCTGTCCTTGTATGTCCTTGTACCTTGTATGCTTCTGTCCCTGAACATGTTGGTGTCTTTTGCAGGACTGGCTCCAATAAATCCATACATCTCTTGTACTGAGGAGCACAGGATTGCAGACATGTCTCTCCATTTCTGAGGACAGGATTGTCTCCCTCAAACTGCTGGAACTGCTTACAGGGTTGCTTTTTTTTTTGGCAGCACTGTTGCCTACATCAGAGAAATGTATCTGCTTTTGTTGAGAATTACCTCAAATTTTACTTTCTCTTTTGTAGCCTCATGAATAGGAATTTAGCTGTTTTGTGCTCTCTTTCAAACATTTCTGTAGATTAACCCTACAAATCAGGATTTATGGGGGACTAGGTTGGTTTTTTACCATCAGAGATAAGTTACCTCCCGATTAAACTTTTCAGAGATCCAGAATCCTCTGGAATCAAGAGAAAGAACAGAGTCTTTGCACTATTTTGGTCATATTCTGTACAATACAGTCTAGATTTTCATTCTGCAAAAGGAGATGCTTTAGGATGGAAAAAGTACACCTAGAAAATGGTGCAGTCCTCTAAAGTAATATTGGTTTTCTGCATAAGTAGGATCATATTGAGTCCACACAGGCTGTTCTTTCTGCTCCCTCCTTAGAGGAATGCCATCTTCTAATATTAAACACTAATTGAATAGAGACTATATCAGTGTACTTATCACAGCAAAAGGTTCCAGTTTTATACCTTCCACCTCAAGAGAAAACATGTAAGGAAAAAGATTTTCAAATATCTTCATTAAAAACATCAATAAGAAAATTCCAGGTTCTGAGAAAAGGACTCATGTAGGTAAACTTAGACCTCTGTTTCTGAGCTACCATCTCTGATGAGACATGGAGAACTGATAAATAAAAACATGTTGCTGGGGAATGATTGTTTTCATCACAAAACTGACATCTCAAAACAACTGAACTGTGGTCACTTTCTCCCCTTAATTATGAAGGAAGCACAGGACAACTGAGCACAGGTTCTACACTGTAGACACAGAATTAGGAGCACTGAGTACAACCACGATGGACACGTAAGATTTCCTCTGACATTGCTGTCCATTGTGATGGAAACTTTCTTCAAACTACAGTAAGACATGGTTGGTATACATTTGGATAGACACCTGAAAAGATTGCTTCAAGATCTCTTTTCTCTTCCTGACCCAGCTCTCTGGGAGGAGCATCTGTACCACAGAAAGGTGCTATGCTTTGAGAATGCCATTGCATGAGAGGAACGGCACTGCACAGTCCAGGCCATGCCATGCATGAGTAAGAGGCCATATCATTAAGCTGAGGCATTTTGATGAAATTCTATTAAATGGTAACTGGCTTTGAAACCCTTTTGTTTAATGGGAACATCCATCCTAATTTAAAAATCTTTTTGTCAAGACAGAAAGTGAGTGTGACAGAAAAAAGAGGACAGGCTTCAAATTTCTGGTCCTTCGATGACTTAAAGACATTACTGCTCTCACAGGGCTGCTTCTTCTGAAAGTTGTCACACACATACAGGATGCAGAGCAGGGCATTAGAGAGATTATTAAACCCACCTCAGGGACGGTTTAAACTACTGTGAACTAAGGTCTGTGCATCCTCGTCTGCAGGGACCCCAGCAGGGCAGGCATCTGTCAGGTGATGCCATCTTATAAACTGCTGCAGCTAAATCAGCTCATCCGTCACTGTTCAGTAAGCTGAGAAACGTCAAGAAATATCTTCCTTTGGGATGGTCTAAAGATTGCAAACCTTTCCCACTCTCTATTTTAATTGCATCTTCTGTTCATTTATTCAGGTAAACCCCTATTTCCTTGGTTATAGCCTGAAACAGGGATCCAGACTACAATACTAGCAAATCAAGTTCATAAACAAATATTTCACACACTATTCTAAGGGAAAACACTATTGTAAAAGTAGTACTCAGGAAAAACAGTGGCTATGACCCATTAAACAACTACAGCTCAGCTTTCTAGGTTTCTTGAATCAGGACAGATATTTGTTTACTTCTGGTTAAAACAAATCTCCTATTAAAAAAAAAAATTCATTCTGAAGCTCACAATCCCATCTTGCACAAAGGCTCTCGGCTGCCCTGGTCTTGTAAGATCCTTATAAAAGTACACGTTGGTTTCCTTCGTAAAAATTCTCATAACCTTTTGAGCTAATTCCTTTGGTTTACTGTTATTTTAATCCCATTAGTCTGTAGGTAGACAGATTTTCCTATGCTGGTTGTAAAATGCATCTGCATGATTTCCTAGTCCAAGACCCTCTCGATCTGTCATGGTAGACTGTATCTCTGGCTTTTGCCCTTTCCTATTTCTGAAAATTTTTGGACGACATGAATGCCTGACAAATTTCACTTCAATACTTAAGACCTAAAGGTACTCTGATAGGAAAGCTGGATGACAACACAGAAGCTAATTGTACTGACAAAAAAGGATTTCTTCTACTGTACCAACATCATCAGAGGCAAAAAAGATCAAGAAAGCCAAG